ACAGATCAACGGGCAATGAGGTGCCAGTTGTGAGTTAGCGGGGCTGCAGCGGACAAATCGGGCGCGTTCATTACGTGAAACAAAAAAAAAATCCAGATTTCAACGACTGAAGTTAGGGCTGCGTTTATGATGATTGTAAATATGCTAATTAAAGCAACAATTCAAAAATATTTGAAATTTGTATCAGTGCCCCTTTGATGCCTGTGCGTTGCATCGGCGTGACTTGTGTTTTGTTGAAAATTGTGCAGCTAACCAAATAAATTATATATACCTTGTCTCGTCAGCAATTCGTGCTTTTATGCCTCGTTAGGTTTGTTTATATCTATACTTGTATATCACAGTCAATCAGGCTATAGAAATATTGATCTGCTTCAGTAAGGGCTTGAACAGCTACACTCAATTGCACACATAATTTTTTGCATTTTTGCACCGTTGCAGTGCGGCACATAAAATATTGTAGAATAGAATGTTTCTAAATATTTCGGTGTATGGTTTTGTGGCTGCGGTTACATAAAAGCTTAGCCAAAGTGCACCGACACGCACCCACACAAAACTTTGTTACACTGATACAGCACAGAGGATAATGGTGTACACATAATTAGCCACTAAAGAACACGCTCACGAAAAACAAAATGAGGATGACGACACAGGTGGCTGTGGATAAAATAAAACAGACCTAACAGCCCTTGTATGTCTCATGCATTTTGTCTGTGAAGGTTTCATCCTTACGAATGTAAACAAATTGATCCAACTAAGAAGTCCTACATGCATATATTCCTGTTAGCATCTTCTGCAATATGTCGTGATTATTTTAAAATTTATTACATATTTAGTGTCTAGCAGTTCGGAGCTTATTGAGTATCTATTTAAATTACTTGTGATACTATATGTGTTGCAAGACTAGTTTTATGAATTTAAAAATTCGAATGCGAAAAAGCTGCTTTTGCATGCACTCGAAGAAGAATAAGATTAGCATGTCTTATTGATTTTTTAGAGTAGTCAGCCATACTTGTTGGCTAAAGGAATCATTTTGTTGACCAATAAGCAAACTGTGAAAGACATAAAATTATCCAGTATACCAAATTTATGTAAATGGAGAAGAAATTTAGAGGTGAGCATCCACAAATAAACAGTGCTGTGTTTCCAGCTGTAATTGTCCAAATATAAGTGCTGTTAATCCCCTCAGATTGGGACTTGCTCGATGCTTTACGCTAGTTTCACGCAGTAGATTGTACATCTGTGATGTGTACATGTCAATAAAATGATCCTTCGAAGTAAATGATAAATATTGCTACATTTGTGTCACCCATTGTTGTGACCTATTGAATAGGGTATTCTAGCTAAGCAAGAAATCTTGGTGTAAAGGCTGAAATTTGAGCATCCCGGTATATTTCAAACTTCTTGGTAGGTGCATTATTGAAGAGAGAAGCACTTTTCCACCACCACGTACATTTGCTAAGGTTTCCGATGAACCATGGTGTAGACTCACCCATAGCACTTGCATTTGTACACTAATATGCACAGGTGCTTGTAAACGTAAAAGTGAAGAGTGGTAAAGCTGAAGTGGGGAAGCTAGAGCTCTCTATTAAAAGATATGCCATAATGAGGTTCTGATTGTTCCCAGTATTTTAAAATTCTTAGTTGAATGTTGTGCATGTCTTACATGCAGAAGGTTGAAAGGACAGCACACTACCGCTTCTACAACGGACTGGGTGCTGACGATGCAGTGCACTCTACATCACAACCTGAAAGCAGCTGTTCCGGGCTCACAACCTCACTCAAAGAGTTGCAGCAGTGGTGGACGCTACTCATAGGGTGCACCAACTATCTTGTACATTTTCGGAACATTTTTCTGGTGGGAAAGGCTTCATCTCAAGCTATGTGTCTTATATACCTATTTATTTTTTCAATATGAGTATCAGTTTGCCATCAGAATAACAACAATGCATGTAGAAAACTGTTTGCAAATGCATATTGTTAAGAGAATTGTATAATAAAGTGCAGACAGCCTAAATGTCTCCTACTTAAAAGGTTGATTCACTAATGGGTCATTTCATGCCAAACATCCCAGCTATTTTAGCGACCATCTCAATAGTATTTAAAAAATGTGCTAATTTACTGCATCGAAAACAGTGAAACAGTACAATGTTTCCGAAAGAAAAAATTTTGGTCACGTAGTTACCTTATAAACTAGCCGGAATGTCGTTTTACTGTTCTTTGTGCAAAAGTTTATTTTAATAGTACTGCTCTTTGTTTCTATACCAAAATTTGTCTTCATGTTAGGTAAAAGTTCATGTGTGAAGCGTTTGAAGCTCAGTAATATTAGTGCAATTTCACTGGCACATACGCCTCCAAGACTAACAAAGTGCTTGATACGGCTGGTTGGTGCTGTATGGTAGACAAAGAAAGTGGCTAACAGCACCAACGACAAGAGGGGATAGAATAGACAAAAATAGAGTGCTGAACTAACAACCAAAGTTTATTGTAAATCAACTGCAATATATAGAAAATAGATTCTGCGCATAACCACGCAACATAAGTCAAATTGCTCATATATGCGCCATATGGTGTTCCTTATCAAGAAGTTGTCATATCAATGGACCCCAGATAACTAGTTTCACAGCCGGAAAGGAAAATTGAGAGTATGGTAACACAGTATGCACAAGTTAATGAATGTGAAAGGCATCACTAATCACGTGCTTGCGCCAAATTTTATATGGCCCCATGATCACGCACCTGTCAAAAATTGGCTGACAACCACACTTTTTACAATGGTTCACCAAGTGGCTGGGAAGAGAGCCTTCTAGAGAGTTAGCGTGTTCCATCAACCGATCATTTATGCATTGCTGTTTGGCCAACGTAACCAAGCTTACAAGTAAATAATATATTCTAGAAAATCGCTGAAACACATTCAACATGGCACGTAACGTAATTCTTAGTGCATGCTTCCTTTTTAGGTCCTTTGCGGTTGACCCTGCAACATATCCCAGCGAGCTTTTCACGTGCGCAGAATACAACTCTTACACTTATTTTGCCAGCGACCTTCTTTGGCCTATGGGAAACTTCGTGTATGTAAAGAATGACAGCCTTGCTAGAATGAGGCTTCTTGAGTTAGCTGTTGCTTTGTCTCTTATCAGGCACTCTTAGTGACGTTAGGAGAGTCTCGGCATCAGAAGTTAGCAGGGGATTACGAAAGGCTGCTTGTTGAAGGCGGTGAACTTGGAGCGAAAAACTGCATTGTATCTGGTGGTGACAAGAGTGAGTTAGAGCTGCTTTTAGGCAGGAAAAATCAACGCTTCACTTAAGTAGCATAGAATGGGTGGACGTGAAAAGCAGGCTCTTCCTTGAGCACGGCTCGTACCGCCAACATACATGGTCAACCAAAAAAAAAAAACATTTCTAAGTCTAGACATCGTACCTTGTCTTCAAAAATAAACTCCGACGTCAATTCTAGTTTCTTAATTTCACGCCAAAAAACGTCAAACATCATCATCATCAAGTATTTTGCATGGTTAGTATATAGTGACACTGTTAAGCCAATTTTGCTTACTGTCTTCACTCCTGTATTACTGTTTCTCCAGTAGTCTGAATGTCTGAACACACGAGGGTTATTGTGAAATGAAAACGCTATTTTAAGACTGTTTTGTCCTTACATTCATTAGAATACCACTAGCCTTGCATATTATGCATAAGGCACGCCACAACACATGCAAACTGTGGCGTATCAACGTGGCAATTGCTGTGTGCTTTGATATAGTATTTCAGTATATTGGAAAAATAAGGCATGCTGCATTGCACTACCCTTCCTGCTGTTTGTATGCTTCACCGCACTGTACTTTTGTGTTACACTAAGCTTGTTAAAATTAGTTCTTCATTTTTAAGTGCAAATAAAGGCTCTTCTGTTGTACTGTGATATGCATGCCTTGGTCGTTAGAGCTCCATGCCATGCCATCGTCGTCTAATTTCCGGTCTTCTTTTGTAGCAAATGGCATTCTGCTCCGCATAATTGAAAAAAGGTTTTTGATTAAGCTACAATTTGTCTCTGAAGCCTGTATGTTCTGTGTGTCTAATACAATAAAGCTTGACTTAATTTTGCACTATGGGACGACTTTGTGAGCGTTGTGTTATGTGTGACAGCTCATTTTGAGTGTTGCCTTCTCAATAAGCTAGGATTACGTGTTATATGTGAGAGCCTTATATGCCGTGCTTCATATATGCACTATAAAAGCAGTGCTAGGGCCAGAATTACCATACTGTGGCAGGAGCCACTACAATAGGACATCTGCGCATGAAAGGTCTAGCTAAAGGGTGAGCTTTCACGTGCTTCCACGGGGGCCTACTGAAAAAGGGTAACACTCGAATTATGGTAATTTGCGCACGGGTGTTGGAGAATAATTCTGCGTGAACACCTCCAAACCCTTTTGCTGTTCGGGTGAATTACAGCCCTACCTTACTTTTGTTGTTTAAGGGTGTTGGGGTGTCATAGCAAGATTACACCCTTCCGCCCTCAATAATACTTGGGTGTAGATTCGCTTTTACACCCTCACTCCCTTAAGCCCACTTAGGTGTACATTTGCTTTTACACCTCGAAAAATGTTCGTACGCTAGGGTGTAAATTACGAAATCCACCCATGATATAGGTGTAGTCCTGCTTCTTACACCCATTTTGTGGGGTGTAGGGGTGTGAGTTATAGACACAATATTACACCTATATGGGTGTAATTTGTTTTACAGATACTTAGCCCGGCGAATGGTTCCAAAGAAATTACGTCGGAATATGCATTTTTTACAAAAAACGCGATACGCAAAGCTCTGTGTCACAGAAGGGTGGCCTATTAAGAAGCTGCCGGCCTGAATCCTACGAGTGGAAGCTTGGTGACAACGGGTCTCTAAAGAATGCGTGATCATTTCACCAAGAGGGGCAGTTGACACGCCGCTTTAATGTACTTGATGGGAAAATGTTTCTTGTTCTCATCATGACAGCAAGAAACAACTCTTACCAGTCTGAAAGGTGTGAGAATATGAAGTTTCCGATCATGAGGCCCGCCATGTAGAAACTTTGCGACGCTGCTCGAAGCCATACACGGTCGCAGACGAGGTCGAACTGCATGTAGAAAACTTTGTTAGGTTATTTAAAAGAAGAAGTGTGTAGGATTTGACGATGCATCTTCTGAAATGAGTACTTTATGCATCCGAACCCTTGTCACGCCTAAACAAAAACAATGTTCGGGAAAGTAATAAATAGCGTCATCATGCTAGTGGTTCCCATTGAAACCCGTCGATTTCTTGTGCTCAACCCACGAACGCATTTTGAAGGACACTGAAGCTCGAAATAAAATTTACAAGCACGTGAGGCTGAGTTGAGGCAAGGCCTATGTGCGACGTAAAATTTTTAACGTTAAATCTTGCCGAGTGGGCTGTTTGCATTATCCAATCCATCGTGACGATTGCTTCATGCGCTGCGAATCCATGCACTGTGCGATGCGCGAAATGATGCTCATAATCTAGCGCATTGCGCTCGTCGTGTATACTTCGTAACGCGTGTCCTCTCTTACGACTTTTGTCTGAGTAGCGTAGTATTCTATTCACGGAAAACTAACCAGACTGGTACCTCATTTTTCAGACCTCTGTTTTCTGACTTCACGCCAAAATACTCTAACACTTCATGGAAGTTTTTAGTCCGCAAAGAGTATTAGGGTAAGAAGCTAAAAGGTGCTCGACAAGGAAGCTACTCACCTGATATTTCTATGTCTCATGTTTAATAATAACAATGTGGAACAGGACGTTGCGTTATGTGTGCTAGCAGTAAAAAATCATTAATAAAATATTTGACCTGTGTGATCTAGTTGGCTCACTAAACTTGTACAACAAATCTTCACAAAAAAGAAACAACCATTTTTTAAATTTAAATGAGCTTGCTTTTACAGGCTTAACTTTCTCGTTAATCGCCTCTTGTGCTCTGTCATTAAAGACTTGTCTAGGGATAGCCACAAAACTGCCTTCCTGCATCAGACAGACTTGTCTTTAAAGAAGGATACCACGTGGTGCGTCCTTCGCACTTCACAACCAGTGCCAGCCTTTGGAGCCGTCTTGTGTAGACTTCACACAGGCCACGCTCACGCTGTTCATGGGGCACATTTCTGTAAACTTGCTTGTTCCACGCAAGAAGTTTTTGTGGTGCAACCTAATAAAGCCCAAAGGCTTTATTTTTGTCCTTTTTATTTAAAAATCTTGCCTAACGGAGTGCATAATTGAGGGTATAAAAAATATCTGTTTCTTGAATGTAAATATTTGACAGAAGTCTCTGGTTGGGTTTTAAACTGGGAGATTTAGACTCCATCCAAAATGTTTTGAAAAAACCCGATGTTTTCAAACCAACTTGGTTCCTTCTTCCGGGGTGACTGTGGGACTACAAAGCAGCGGCGTCTTCAAAGCACTCGCGGGGCGGATAATGACCCCTCCCTCTCTTTCTCTCTCTCGTTGCCTTAGAGTGCAGTCCATGTGTATACACTGGGAGAAGGGTTCCGAGAGAGCGGTTATGTTATAGGATGTCCTCTGTATGCGCCACTACTCGAGTAATAACCTTCTCCTCCAGTTCGGCTCACTTTCAAGGATGGCCGTCGCTTCGAAATTTATCCAACGTCTCAGCATGTTCGGTGACTGTGCTGCGCTCTTTGTAGAGCTTCCGCATATTGTGTGCGTGTTGCTTCAGTCGTTCCGGTAGGTTTTTCGTCTCGCCGTTATATGAACAAGGGCGCTCAGCGCACAAAATTTTGTAAATGACACCGGGGGTCCTGTCCATTGTTGACCGGTTTTTCGGGTGGCGGAGGAGGTGGCCCACCGTACATAAAGACACGTGCGCGATGCGAACTCCTTCCTTCACTAAGATCTGTGCCAACATATCACTGGTTTCCTAAACGTATGGCAATTATACGTGTTGCGGGGGGCTGCGATTTAAGGTTGATGGGGGTTTGCGTATTCTTTGTTGCTCTGTACGGCGGGTGGCGGCTTGAATGAAGTTTTTTGGTATCCTTTTTTTTCTGAGGTCTGCAATTACGTAGGCCTCTTCTTTCTTTTCATCCGTGTCATTGGAGCATAAGTTTTAGCTCTCTGGAGTAGCGTGGTTACAACCGAGGTCTTGTGGCAGGTGGGGTGGGAAGAATCAAATTAAAGGTAGCAGCCAGTGCGCGTTGGCTTCCTGTGAACAGAGAGGTCTAGGCTGTTGCGCTTTCTTGCCACCTGGACGTCAAAAATAGCAGGAAGGGGTCGCTTTCACACTCGGTCGTAAATTGTATGACTGGGTGCACAAAGTTTAGATGTTGTCTAAAGTTTTCAACTTTAGACGTCTTCATAACAGAAAAGCAATCGTCCATATAACGGAGAAAAAACATGGGTCGCGGCGAGAAGGAGCTGAGTGCTTCCTTTTCTATATACTCCATATATAGAAGAGAAAGCACTCAGCTTCTGAGTTCTTTCTCTTCCTGAGAAAGAGCAGGAAGTATTTTATGATGTACGGTATCTCTTCATAAAGAGTTCGCTTGCGTTTGACAAAGTATAAACGTTTGATCTTGGGAGCAAGTTTTTAGATCCCTGTAAGGTAGGCACATGCTATCGTACGCATATAAAGTCGCCAGTTCTAAATGGTGCATAGTAGTGTGTCCTGTGAGGTATCGTTTTCGGAGTTTCTTGCGCTTCTTCGAAATTACTGACTGCTTTGCTTCGGCCGTCTGTCAGAGTCAGGGGCCTTTTGCTGTGGTCAGAGGAGAAGAACAGGCTTGATGTGCACAAACTTTTGATGTGACATATTTGGTATGAACGCAAACAATAGTTCGAAAGGTGAAAGGCCAGTACTTTAATAGCGATTTGTATTGAAAGCGAAAGCTACTTCGTCTAGTTATGATAGTTTTTTAAGAACTTATGACAGTTTTTTTAAGAACTGTCATAAGTGTTCTAACTGGCAAGCTCAACAAGCCCGTTTGTAGCAGCATGACAGGCTACAGAAAAAGGCATGCATTCGTGTGCAATTTTTGAAGGGGTGAGATTCAAACACCTTGGCATGATTGGATAAGCAGCCCTAATAACCTCCAAATCTGTAGAACAAGGAATGCAAACGCTTTAGCACATCATTGTTTGAGGTTGTGGGCACCGCTGCTCTGGCAAGATATCTGGTTGTGGAGTCTGTGACGTTGAGGATGCACCTCTCTTCTGTTCTCGCCATTGAAAAGTAGTCAAGGGCTATGACACTCAAAGGAATGTCAGTCGTAGCATGTGACACATTGTGGCAACTAAACATGTGGTAGGCCCGTAATGCACCTGGTAAACTGAATGGGCTTCAAATGAAAAGAGCCGCATGACGTTGTATATTGCGCTTCACGGCTGTTTGTACTTCGGGATTAAGTGAGCATAGTGGCAGATGTCAGTCAGTGGATTATCAATGGCGTGAGCAAGAAAGTCTGATGGCAACAGGCTGGAGTAATTTGTCTAGAGTGGGCTTGTAGGTCAAGTTGTTTGCCTTGTTGAGCTCAATGCGAAAGGGATTGTTCTTGACTGGTTCGTATTGAAGTGGCTCGGCCTTTGGCAGCGAGCGGTCAAAACGTGACAACAACGACGCCTAATTACGGTATTTAATATCAATTTCAATTTTTTTCCTGCACTGAAGGATAAGCTTGGTAGATAGTTGGCAGATAACAGGTAGCTTTGGAGGTGTGAAGTGGACTGCAGCTTGTGCTGTGTAAAACTAATTCTTTCAGAATGAACGCCATTCAAGAAATACTGCTTCGATAACTTCAGAGCGACGTTTTATACTGATTTTTAAAAAGACTAATCCTTCAGGCATGACGTTGCTTCCACCAACGACGAGCAAATGTGGCTTCGTTCATCATTCGATGTTAAGGTTTGATGCTACGCTTGCTGCAAAAATTGTGATATTTGAGATGAGGTGAGGGAAAGCACCAATCGCTCCTAGTTATTTAACATGAGCAGTAATGACGGAACATATGCATTTCGATCCATACATGGTGTTGTTGACATGACCAACAAAGGCTTTCATGACTGTGTTCTTGTGGTCACTAGTAGACGTCTTCGGTGTAGCACATTTACTTGAAGGGTGGCCTTTCTTTTTAGAGTCGTAGCGGACAGCATCCAGCAAGTCTTGTCTTCTTCTGTATGCTCGGGTGCCATACTTAGCTGATGTGGATTCATACCTTGACTATTGGTGAGTCCGTGACAGGCTGGCAATACAAGGGGGCTACGTCCTTCTAGTCGTGAGCTCCAACGTAGATGGCCGAGCATTCTGTGAGGTGGCACAGTACTGTCAGTTCAAGTAGTAGCACTCTGCAACCGAAGATGACTCGGCTGTGCTGCGAAGTGGTCTGTGCGCTGCGGTGATTGGATCAGGTGGGCTTAGTATAGTGCTCTATCCACTTCGAACACTATGTTAAGTAAGTCATTCACAGTACGGAGGTAATTGAGAAAAGATGTATGTGTTTACTTGATCGTCACGAATGTCTTAAACGAGGTGTTCGATGCGTTTGTTGTGAGTGATTAGATAGAGACAACGATACGTGATCTAAAGCTTTGCAAAATATACTGCTACAAGCTCTCTACGGCTTTTCGTGTGAGGACTGGGACCTTTTATTGCTACTGTAAATCGAAAGTCACTCGCGAAATTGTTATTTTGTTGAAATCAAGCCTTCCAAATGGTCTCAGGCGGTAAACTGTCGCCCTGTTGCTGCCACTCCACGTAGCTTTACTTGGGTGGTGGCGACGCGAGTTAGGTTTTGCCATCGTGAAGGTATATACGTGCTCTCATGCTCTTATATCCAGCGCTTGAAAGTAAGGGTACCACTTCAGTTGAAGGTAGATAGGGACGCAGAGAGATCTGGTAGTGTTGTCACGTGCGCGTGGTTTGCGTGACTTGCTATTGTCGTCGTCTAAAAATCATTTTCTAGTGAAAAAGTCATTCCAAGAGGTGCACGTTCATTACTGGGTCTGACGTGAGAGTTAGCATGTTTCCAAATGACATCACAAGTGCTGACATGAATAGAAACGGCGTTAGAATTGTGCAAGCGCATGAGGTGGCCTTATGATTTGGCTGTCAGTTTT